ATTTTCAGGGGGCTGTATCTCGGTCAAATCATGTCGTATTTTTTGATTCTGGTGTCATTCGACTCAGCTCGACGAGTTTTATAACCTAAGACTGGACATTTTTTAATAATTATTATTTGTGACATTAATAAAATAATTGCCTGGATTTTCAAATTTTAAACAAATTTCAATGTGAGAATATTCCATTTTTTCTTCTTCAAAATATATTTCCAATCTTGTTTTTTGCCATTTAATGTTATTGAATAGATAAAATTAGCCTTGCTAAAATGATCTCTTTTCAAAATTTCTCTAGGCCCTTCCAGATTCAAAAAACATATTAATCTTGTCAACTTTGCATGATTGTTTTGAGACTGTTGTAATAATGAATTTATTCCGTTTAAGTTTATTTCAATACCAGGATGAAAATACGCACTCTCTACATATAATTTTTTTAATAATAAAAATAAAAAAAATAAAAAATAAAAAAAACTTGTATTAATTTTGCCTCGGAAGTAGGGTTGCGTCGTAATTACGAATTACGGCGTTTTTTGAGTTACGAATTACGATTACGAAAATATTGTAAAAATTACGAATTACGAAAATAAAAAATTACGAAAAAATATTATTGTAAAAAACCCCTTTCATACTTTTCCATTAAATTTCCGAAGGAAAAGGAAAGGGGGCATTGCATTTCAGCCCGAATTTTTCATAAAAGACGCCAAAATTTACGTCCCTAATGACCTCATTGATTGATATATATCCTCATTGATTGATATATAAAATTAAAAATCTTAAGTGTCAATATGATAATTTTTTACTTGCATTCAAAAATTGTAAAAAATATCTTTCCTTTCAAACTTTTTTTTCGACAAAAATTCTTCTATATAGCTGTTCAATTATCCCCTAGTTTTCCATAACGCGGTTTATGATCTTGTTTGAATTTATGCCATTGTGATTTAATTGAGTTTGTGTGCTGTCCAGTTTCCTTATTAACAAATCCAATGCTTTATTTATTCAGCATTGCATTTCAGCCCGAATTTTTTAAATAAAAGAGCCAAAATTTTACATCCCTAATGATTTCTGTAATATTTTCTGGGCATATATGTCGATTTTCTGGGCATATCATTGATAGCCGTAAATAAAGAATATCTTTTATAATAAAAACTTAACAATTATGAAATACTTTTAATATTAGAGGAGAAATAAACTTATTAGTGAGGAAATTTTAATTATTTCGTATATAAATTTTGACAAAAATCAGACTTAATTTTGTCGGAAATTCTTTTAAAATTATTAAGAAATGTAATATTTGTCTATGAATTTCATAGTATATTTAAAGTGCAATTATGAAATCTAAATTTTTATTGGCAATTACAACAATTTTTGGCTAACGCGCTCGTATAAAACACGGAGGAATCTGTCAACTAAAATTTAAATTAATTTTTAAAAATGTTTTTTATTAAATTTTTATTTATTTCTAAAATATTATTTTTAATATTTTTTAATTATTCTTTTTCTTCTTATTATAAAAATAATCAACGAATTTTAATTGAATCTACAGAAAATAATAAAAATGAGGATGGAAGTGTTAAAATAAATTTGTTGGAAATGGAAGTTAATAAAATTGAAGGAGAACCTAGCCGATATAAAATTGAAATTTTATATGAAATTGAAGAAAAAAATGAGAAAGATTACATTTATATTTCGGGTACTTCTTCACCCGTGTGTATTATAACTGACGGTGATTCACACAAAATAAAAGAGATAATTAATGGAAATAAAGGGAAAAAATTCATTTTGATTGAGCATGTGTTAAACTATTCAATACTAGCAGTAATAAATATTTGCTTACAAGAACATAATAATGGTGTTGAAATTGATAAAAAGGTAAAAATGTTTATACAAACTTATTTAAAATCAGGGTTCAGATCGGGAAAATGTTAAGTGTAAGTACAAAAAGTTCAATTTGAAGTACTAATGGGAAAAATTTTCAAAATATATGTACGCTACAAAAAAATTTTCAACAACTTTTTTGGCGCCAAAGCCAAAGAGAGCCATATGCCAGATTTCTCCCATTTTCTGCGCCATAGGCGAAAATGTTGAGAATTTTAAGTTTCAATTAAATTTTTTAATCAAACTAAATTGAAACTCCCAGAACTAAAAAAATTTCAAGAACTAAATCAAAAACTAAATTGAAACGTGCATTCACAGCTCGAAGTTGTTATTCCACAGAACTAGCTGTTGCTGGTATTCGTGACACGGCACCTAGCCGTGATGTTCCTTCTGCTCGTGTGTAATAAGAAAATACCGGATTTTTATTGTTATAAATTCTCAAAATATGGCCATAAAATATTGACAAAAAATCCGAAAAATTAGCTAAATATTGAAATAAATTATCGTTTATTCACAGCAAAATCCAAAAAAGTTGAAATTAAACAAAAAATTATCAAGTTTTTAAAATTGCACATTAGCTGCTGCAACAAAAAATTTATCACGCACTGTAGTGAAAAATAGGCCATAATATCTCTTTTCAGCGCCGCAGGCGAAAATTTTATTGAAAAATTAATAGCATATTTGGGCTTCTCTCGATATAGTGTGTTTGCAAAACAAGCATTTTATTTCAATAAAATCAGTCTTTAGTAATAAGGCTTGTTACGGAGGTTCTGGATATGGCGTTTCACACTTTTTGTCTGATTAGATGTTGGAGTAGTCGCTAACGACAATAATGGAGTTGTTGAAGGTTATTGATGCTTGTTCCTGGTCCATTCTCATCAACCTTTTCTTCTTTTTTAATACAGGTTAAAATAGATTCCAATTAGAGCCGATTTTCTCTTTTCTTTTCTAAACGATGCTCTTCAGCGCGCATTTCGACTCTACGCCGTGATACCTTTTCCAATTGAAGACGGCATTCTAGCCGGAAAGCTAAAAGTTTAGGGTTAAATTTAATTGCCCACCCCCAAAGCTTCTTGCTTACCAATTTCCATACTCACATAATGTTTAGGTTGAGTTGAGGAAACAACGTGCTGAGCTGGTGGTGGAACAGTAATAATTTGTTGTTTGGGCTCGTGTGGCAGGTTTTGTTGTTCCACAATTGGTGGTTGTGGTGGCAGTGTTCCAGTGGTGGACCAATAAGAGCAGAAATTGGCGAAACCGCCTTCGGCGAGTCATTAATTATTCCTGATGTTGATGTTCCATTAAAATTAAGATCCAACACAGGTTCAGTTGTTGGAATTTATAATTCGCCACTATCTAACCAATCCTCCATGAGCTCTTGGTCTTCTAATGTTGTTGGCTTTCCCATAGCCTCACAATAAGCATTTTCCCGTGCCCGTTTGTTGTCTCGAATTTCATTACTTGCTGCTCTTTTAGGCATTCCACTAAAATCATTTCAATTAGACAAAAAATTTAATGAATCTGAGCAAATGGGGCAAGGGCCTAAAGGAGGGAAAATCCGCGTTGCTTGGTAAAATAATCAAACAATTTAGAAATGTAATTGTGATAGATCGGATTCCACGCCGATAATTTGGATCTCATTAGCATTCTCATCTTTCTCTACTAACGATAATGGAGAAGTGGACTCGGAACGCTCTCGTTCACTTGAACCTCGAGTTACTGCCTCATTATCGTAAAAAACCTTCTCTTACGGAACATAGTCTTTATGAAAATATAAACTTTTCCAACGTGTGATCCTTTAAGCTCTCTGACGATCCACCATTTTGGAATTCCTTCGGCTTTTACGGGAACTTCCTCTAATCCCACCCTCGAATATTAAACACTGAAGCTTGGGAAACACTAGCGGGGCTCCTTTCTCTGTGAAATGCTGGACAACGCTTATCTCCGGCTGAACGTTTATCTCCGGCTTTCTCTAAGAAATGATGGTCAACGCTTATCTCCGGCTGAACGTTTATCTCCGGCTTTCTCTAAGAAATGATGGACAACTCTTATCTCCGGCCATATTAGCTGGACGGCTTAATGCCTGGATGGCTGATGGTAATGGTCATTTCTAAGGAACAGTTTTCCGAATAAATGACAAGTAATCCTTAAACTTCTGACTGATCAAAATATCCTCCCAATTTCTTTCTCCAAATCTATTTATCTCTTTGGATAAGTACTCGGCCATATTCTCCTCAATCTTTGGAGGACGTGGTGTATAAGAGCTCTCAAGACACTTCGCTAAGTATCGTATTCTGGTCTGGCCTTTAATGGGTGGGGGCAAATCCATTAATTTAATAAAATATTTAAGAAAAATAAAAATATAAAAATTGTGGATTTTAAAGTAAATGATTTGTATAAATGAATAGGAAGGGCAAAAAATACTTCGGCCTAGATAGGCCCGCCTTCTCTCCAAAATTTATTCGAGGACTAACCTTTCTCCTTCTGGATTTTTCGCTCCAATGGATAAACGGACTGGTTTGAGGATAACACACCTATTGTATGATTCAATACTTCACCTGGGGTTTTAAATACAAATTAACAACTTTTAGATGATAATGGCACTTTCCACTATGTTTTTTCCACAAATCGATTTGGAGTTAAATCAACTATCAAATGAGAGTATAGCGAGTGCTTATTTTAATCCTGGTGTTGAAATTAACTTAAACGGAATAAAAACATTTTTACGGATATTTCAAAACAATCATGCATGGTTGACAAGATTAATATGTTTTATGAACCCGGAAGGTCCTAGAAAAATTTTAAAAAGAAAAAATTTTAGCAAAGCTAGTTTAATTGAGTCAACATCAATAAATGACAAAAAACATAAAGAGAAAATGGAATATTCCCACATTGAAATTTGTTTAAAATTTGAAAATCCAGGGAATTTTTTCATCAATGTCTTAAATAATAATTATGATGGATGGCTTCAATTCTACGTCAAAATTAAAAAAGCAAAAGAGGAAAAATGTTTGTACAAAATGTTCAAAAAAATTTCTGATTCAGAGAAAGATATATTGAAAAATTTGAGACATAGTATAGCAATCTCTATATCACAAACGGAGGTTGAAGATATTGAAAATGGTGAAATGAATGTATATACTGGAAATTTGTTCAACAACCATCCCGAAACAAAATTTGTTGCGCTAATTTTTCCTTTGTTTGTTGATGGAAGCTATGAATTTTACATGGATGAGGATGGAATCACAAAAGAAAGAGTGAAGATTGTTGAGCCAAATTTTTAAGATTATAAAAAAAGTTTTAAAAACAGATGTGAGCGCAGAAGGCAATCGTGAAAAAACAAAACGCAACTTAAGGCCTAAATAGTAGGGTTTCACCGGAAGTTCCGGTTCCGGTTCCGGTTCCGGAAAGTTCCGGCCTTTTTTTGGTTCCGGTTCCGGTTCCGGGAACCGGAACTTAAATTGGTTCCGGTTCCGGTTCCGGCTCCGGTTTTCAAATCAGTTCCGGGCAAACCGGAACTTTTTTACACCCCTAAAGATTGATTTTTTTAAAAATATGGGTTGGTCTTCCCCGGCTGGCGTTACAATATTCTCAAAATTTTCGCCTGCGGCGCAAGAAAAGGAAGAAATTTAGCCCTTGTCCTCACAAATTCCCAAAATTTTTGCCTGCGATGCCAGGAAAGGAAGAAATCTGGCTTGTTATCCTCACAAATTCTCAAAATTTTTGCCTGCGATGCCAGGAAAGGAAGAAATCTGGCTTGTTATCTTCACAAATTCTCAAAATTTTTGCCTGCGATGCCAGGAAAGGAAGAAATCTGGCTTGTTATCCTTCCAAATTCTCAAAATTTTCGCCTGCGGCGCTGTTAAACGAAGTTTATATCGGAGGATCTGGATGGATGAAGGCGTATTTTAATTTACAGCTGTGATTTCAAGGGGTCATAGGTAATACCGAGGGATCTGGGTGTAATATTGAGGGATTAAGCTGTGCAAGGTAGATAGAAGGGATAGGATAGCCGGGGATTTGGCCTTCCAAAACTTGGCATGTCTCACTTGGCCTTCCGAAATTCACAAAATTTTCGCCTGCGGCGCTAAAAGGAAGGAAGAATAGGTTATTTTTGATAATTTGCATGGATTAATGGGGATTTGGAAGATACTGGGTGATTTCGTGTACCAAGAGTTAAAATAGGGGGGGCATATCATGGGATTTAAGTAGAACGGTTCGGTTTTACGGTTCGATTTTGGTTAACCGAAAGTTTCGATTCGGTTAGTCGTTTCGGTTAACAGAATAATTGAGTTAAACCGACAAACCTACTTTGAATTCAAATTTCTTATAATTTTTTTTAAATTTTTTAAATTTGCTAGAATTTTTTTTTAAAGTTCCGGTTCCGGTTCCGGGCCGGAACTTAGAAAAGTTCCGGTTCCGGTTCCGGGAACCGGAACTCAAATTGGATCCGGTTCCGGTTCCGGTCAAAATTTCGGTTCCGGTGAAACCCTACTAAATAGTCAAAAAATGACGTAAGAACGCAAAAATGAGGGAAATTTTTTTATCGATTTAAAAATGGGGTATCACTAAATATCACCGATTCATACTTGATTTTGGGAAGATACCGAAGGTCATTAAGAGATATGGGTGAATTTGATGGATACATAGAGTTGTAGAAATAGCGGGGGGTATAGACACGCGATACGGAGACGATAATTTTTTTGCAAAAATGGCACACCCCTGAAATATATTATTTTTGTATCTTGCATGTATGTATATCATGCATAACGTAATCATAAATTGTAAATGTACAAACTAAATATTAACTAAATAAATATTAGTCAATAGAATTGAAATTTGCTACTAAACAATATTTAAATAAATATTTTTACAATTGTAACAATTTTACATCTTTTCTCTTGTTATTCCGTCTGAATCCAAATAAAATTCATAACTTCCATCATTAATTACAGGATCAATTGAGGTAAAATATACCTCATGCTCATATTTATTTTGAAATTCCTCGGCAGCGGTTATACCTTGAAGAGGTAAGGTAAAAGAAGGTGATACAACATTCATTTGACCATCTTCAATATCACTTGTCTCTGTTTTTGATATATTTATTATTATGATTTGTCTCAAACTTTCCAATACAATTTTATCAAAATCAGAAATTTTCTTGAACATTTTGAACACACATTTTTCCTCGTTTGCTTTTTTAATTTTAACGTAGAATTGAAGCCATCCAATATTAATATTTCTCCAAACAATAATAAAATAATTTCCTGGATTTTCAAATTTTAAACAAATTTCAATGTGAGAATATTCCATTTTCCCTCCATGTTTGTTGCCTTTTAATGAAGTTGACTCAATTAAATTAGCCTTGCTAAAATTTTCTCTTTTTAAAATTTTTCTAGGCCCTTCCAGATCCAAAAAACATATTAATCTAGTTAGTTTATTAACATATAAGTCTGTCCAGAAAATTGATTTTATTTCGTTTATGTTAATTTCTAAACCAGAATTATTAGCAGCTTTTGCTATATCCTCATTTGTCAGTTTATTTACCTCAAAATCAATTTGTGCAAAAAACAATGGTACCAATGTCATTAATCTCTAAATAATAAAATATAGTCGGACATCGAATTTTAAAAAATCTAAGAAAATCGCGAAAGCGAAATGAAAATTTCCGTTTCAATTTTCTTCCAGCCCTGATACTCGCCCGTATTTTAAGATATATATTTCCAAATCTAAAGCAAAAATTCGAAAACAAAGAAACAACAATGTACACTTATACCTTATTATCCGGCTCAATACCATATTTAAATCCTTTTAAGCAAATTTCTATTCCATGTATATGCAAATCCCTGAATAAATCCTCAATCAAAATTAATTTTTTCCCATTATCTCCATTAATTATCCCTTTAATTTTGTGTGTAGTTTCGTCAAGGAGATCATACTCACAGTTGTCATTTATATAAATAAAATCGTTTTCATTTCTTTCATCAATTTCATATAAAATTTCAACTTTGTATTTTGCTTCAAGAAAAAATTCCGTTATATCTTCCATCTCATTTTTGGACAATCTAAATGTCATTTGAAAGAGCTCGTCGAGCGGAGTCGAAAAGGCACTAAAATTAAATTTAGGTCTCACATACGGACCAAGTTATTCCCATAATAGTCAAAAAAGTATAAGGCTGCTTTCATGGACCCGAGCTGATTTTTGGGGTGAAAATCGTATATGAAATTGTAGCTAATTCGAATGTGCTCTTCAAGCTGAGTCGATGATTTCTGAAAGTTCTGTAACCTATTCCTTTTTACCGAAATTCAGCCATTAAATGCAAACTTAACCTCCGTAGTATGACAGAAAGTGTTAATAAACAAAGATGCAGTTGCGTTTAACTTTTCATAACCGATTTATCTCGTCGAGCTCTTTCGAAGGACATTTTTGTCCCTATCAGAGTTGGAAGATGTTGCGGAATTTTACCTTCCCCAATTTTATTAACTTCCATTCTCAACAAATTTATTTTAACACTTCCATCTTCGTTTTTATTATTTTCTGTAGATTCAACCAAAAATCGTTGATTATTTTTATATTCAGAAGAAAAAGAATAATCAAAAAATATTAAAAATAATATTTTAGAAATAAATAAAAATTTAATTAAAAACATTTATAAAATTATTTTTAATTTAAATTGATAGATTCCTTCGTGTTTTATACTAAAGTGTGAAGCAAAAATCTTTTTACCAATAATAAATTATTTCTTAATTGCACTTTAAGGACAATATTAAATAATGATAAATAAATATATTATTTCTTAATAAGAATCTACCGACAAAGTATATATTCATTTATCCACTAACATACATGTGAAAGAATTTTTTATTTTGTCGGAACCCTTTAAAATTATTAAGAAATAAATATTAAAGTACAATTACAAAATAATTTAATAGTTCAATGATCCAGATAAGAGAGGATGATCGCTTAATCGCCCATAGTTCTCCTCCTTTCTTTAACCGGAGTAAAATTTTGGCTTAAGCGGTTGAGCCACAAAATTGCTTTGTAAACTCTGCTTCTTAATCTATTAATTTTTCCAATTATTTATTAATACTCTTTCATTCCAACAGGAGTTCTTTCTGATAGCCAAATAAAACTCAAGCCAAATTTTAGAAGCAAATATCCCATGTGGAATTTTTCTTACTGTTGAGCCTCCTAGCAAATGAGAAAACTTTTAATTTAGTAAGAGATGGAGATCAGAGATGAACATCACTCATCCAAAATTTTACATCTTTTCTCTTGTTATTTCATCTGAATCCAAATAAAACTTCGGCTGCAGATGTACCTTGAATAGTTATGCTAAATGAACCTTTGACTATTATTTTTCGTTGTTTGAGCAATATTTTTATTGTTATGGAAATTTTTTACAGACGTAAATTATTAAAAATATTTATCCAATTTTTAATTATATTTTTGATTATACTTTAGGGATTTGAAATAAAAATAAAAAGACACTCGTCTGCAGATAAACCTTGAAGAGTGATGTTGAATGAACCTTTGACCATTAGTTTGTCTTAATACATACGTAAAATAAATAACAACAATATTTTTATTTTTATTTAAAATCCCTAAAGTATAATTAAAAATATTATTAAAAATTTTCTAGACTTGCCATTTTTTAGTTTATACACGCAGGTGTACTTTTCATCAAATATTATTTATTATTAAAAAAATTTTTTTATTTGAATTTTAAATTGTTGCCTTCTAACTAATTACCAGAAATATTTTTATAATTTTAAAGCAAACAAAACATTTGTCTTTCGACCAGTTCAATAACATAATTTAATATACATACATAATTATAAAATAATTTTTTTATCAATTTTTAATTAAATAAATAATAAAAATTGGCATTTGTAAAATTAATTTAAAGGCATAGAAATTATAAAAAATAAAAGAAAATCTCTTCAAATAAAAATTCAGAAATTTTTATAAGAAAGTTAATAAAAATGGATTTGTATTTTTTCCATCATGATGAATACGAGCGTCTATACAATTGTAGTATTTACAATGTTGACCAACTCCCTTTAGAAAAACGTCAACACAAATTACTGGCAATTTTTGTTATTATTTTGTCTACAATATATGAGGTAAGCAAAAAATCAGCGAGTTCCTGGGCGAGGACCAAGACAAGGTTACGAAGCCCTAAGTAGAGTTTCGAAGCCCTAGGTAGAGTTTCGAAGCCCTAGGTAGAGTTTGAGAAATCGGCAATGTCCTCGGCGAGTCCTCGACATACTTTAATCTTCATGTAGATTAAAAGATTAAATATATACCTAGATTCTCTATATTCCTTGTATGTTTTCAATTTGGAAGCGAATGGCAAACAGCCATTGTTACAAAATAATGTTCGCTATTGGAATTATTGATATGGCTACTATTTTAGCTGCTGGATTTTTAACTGGATATTTGGGATATTTTGGATATGTTTTTTGTTCTTCTCCAAAATTTATTTATTTTGTTGGAGCATATGGATTTTGTTTGTGTTTTTAATTATTAAATGATATTTAATTATTAGTTTGCTGGTCTGCTGAAACTATAATGGAAGTAATTTTAGCTATAAATCGTTGCATTGAACTATTGTCTTCTGAATTGGCTGAAAAATTTTTTGGCGGTCTGAAAATAATTTTATTGAAGAAATTTTTAATTTTTCCCTATATTTAATTAAAAGGTAAAAAATTGCTTTTTTGGCTTGGGATTCCAATACTATACGGTCTATCTATAATAACTTGGTCAGAACCAGTAATATTCACCGGCATCTACTTTAGCTGGTTCCTCAATCCGCACATTGGATATATTGATGATGTTAATCATGTACTCGTTTGAATATTTGTTTAAAATATTTAATTTGTTAAAAGGAATATGAGAACACTCTTCTAGCATTTCACAATCCATTAATTATATTCTTTCTGTTAATTACGTACTTAACGTTTTTTATAATTTTCGTAGTAAAATCCAAACAAGGAGGATTTGAATCAAGTCAACAAAGCTACTCAGAAATAATGGTTTTTTACATTAAATATAGTCACAACCCCTAAATTTCAGATTTTTCTTCAAATCTTTTTGATTAGCTTGTTTAACAGTGGTGCAGCTTTTATCTACGTTTATATGCAATATATCCACATTAATGAAGTTGTAATTATAATTGGTCAAATATGTTGGTTAAATGCACACGGTGGAAAATATTTTTATAACTTTTAAATAATTATAAGACACTCTGAAATTTTATTATCATTCAAAAAATCCACGAAACCTTCCTTGAACATATCTATCAATATCTATATCATGCTTCAAATTAAATTATAGTTACCTAATATGTTTGTTGGTTTCATGTTCAATAGTCCCAATTTCTTATCATCCTTTTACTTAAACCGAAAACTCTTAGTTTCAATTATACATACTTGCTCAATTCGGTTACCGAGCTGAAAAGGGTGGATAATTTAAAGCCACGTTACAATGACTCTTTAAAAAGTCTACATATTAATGCCAAACTACATAAGGCTCTCCCCTATATTTCACGCAAGCCATATCTCAGTAAAAAGCAATGTGTTTAGCAATGTGGAATACCTTTTGGAATACACCGCGCTTCGCACAGTGCAATGCGGGACGTGTCTCTAGTGAGTAAACGGTTGCTAGGTCATGTCCCAAGTTACGTAAACCTGTTCCTAGCAGAGGGTTTTTATTTTATTGATGAACTTAAATGTAAAGACACGCCATCTAATAATAAGATTAATTATTTTAGGAATACCTCCTGTCATTTACTTAACAATGAACAAGTCAATTCAACGCGATTGTTACAGAATATTAAAAAAGTGTGTCAAATCTACTATGCAAAGCTACAAAAATCTACACTCAAATGCTGTCCAACCTTTAAGTCGTCAAATGAATTTTGAAAGGGAAGATAATCAAGTAAACATGCAAAATTAACGAATAATAAAATTGAATTTAACATACTAAAAATTTCACGTTTTCGTTCTTTAAACAAAAACACCGTCTCAATCGAATCATTTATTAAGCCAAATATATTGAAATGATAGCGAAGGTGCTCGCCCTTCGAGCGAGCTACTCCGCTAGCCTAATCTAAATCATAACAAAACTTAAGTCAATTCAACTCTTTTCCGGACTTACTTTTCCTTTTCTGAAAACTTTTTCCTATTCATTGACTCTCCTATGAAACACACTTGATCTATCTAATTCATCTAAAACATAAAAAAACGTTTAAACCTTTATATTTCAATAAATATAGCATAAACTTTAAAAACGTTAAAAAATTTGAAAAAAACAATTAAAAACATACATAAGTATTTAGGGAAGATAGCAAAACAAATTTTGAAATATTGTATGATCTGAAAATAATTCTATGTAGTATTATGAACAAATTTTACAACATTCCCGCATTCTGTTGCTAGCTTGCGAAAAACATTGCTCAAATAATTTTGTTTTTAAATAAAATAATAATCTCATACCTTCATCTTGTTTGTCTTTTCCATTTTCAAAACTTGATAGTTTTAAATTTGATGTTGATAATCGTCGAAACTCCATAGTTTTTAGTTAAATGTTGATTTCTTCAAAACTTGATAGCTGCTCAATATAAATATCAGAGCTTAATAAACTTATATTACCTTCATCGTTCACCATGTTCATAACTGTATCTGTAAATGCAAACATTAATCCAATCCAATCATTTTCTTCATGAACTAATCTTAACTAACTTTTAATTTTCAACTTTCAATTTTAATTATGATTATAGTAAAGAAGTTTCCAATTTTCAACTTTTCAATTTTCCATTTTCAATTTTCAACTTTCAATTTTCAACTATCAATTTTGAAGAATTTACAAAATCTTGTATTACCTCTGGCATCCCGACATGTTTAGAATTTAGATATTAGAATTATTATTATTAGACACATCCGAGACCGAAAAATTTCCAGGACTCAAGACCCAAAGACCAAGACTTGACCCCAAGACTCATGACTAAAAATTAACAAGACACAAAACAATGTTGTTTGGTTGCATGAGGCAACTCTATTCTAAAACTATGTTTTTTTCATTTTATCTAATTTTTTAAATTTCATTTTTAGTCACCCGTGTTATTTTCAGTCACCCGTGTTATTAATTACACGGTTTACTGATTTTTTAAGATAAATTTCAAATATTCCTAAAATTTTCAAAAATGTTTTTTGCAAATGAAAGATGTTTTATATTTCTTAAGTGAGTTTCCTTCCAGTTTCCTTCCATTTCAGCGCCCCAGGCAAAAATTTTGAGAATTTTAAGCCAACTATTTTTTTCCTAATTCTTTTCAGTTTTTAATTTTTTAATTTTTTATTACATTTTCTAATCTAGTTTTATGATTATTTTTAATTTTCTAAAATATTATTCTAATTAATTTATACGTGTTGGACTGTGTAGAAGACGGAAGTGTAGATATCATATATGAAACGAGTAATTTATTTATAATTAAAATTTTTTATTTGTTTTTATTAAATTTGTTTATGATTGTTTCTGGAATTTATTTTTTGAAGAGTTTGCATTTAAAAATTTTTTCAAAGTTTTTACTAACAATATTTTAAAATTTGTAACTAAATTTTTATACATATCTAAAAATGGAATTTATAAAATGTTGAATAAAATAAAAAACATAGTTTTTAATAGGGTTGTCAGTAAAGTAGCTGAGGACCTTTTTAAATCGAAAATATGTTAGTTATAATTAAAAAGATTTCTATAAACTTCAAAAACTAGAAAAATTAGTTACTAAACTGACACCATATTTTTAAATAAATAATGGTTGAAAAAAACAAATTTTTAAATGTTGTTTTAAATTTTAGTTTAGTTATACAATCGGTTTCTTTGTAGTTTTGATTTTTTTGAATTTTTGCATTTTTTGTAATTTTTTTGTAAATTTTTTAAATTTATAGTGGTTTTAAATATATTTTTGTTTTTTTTATTTTTTTTGCTTTCATTTTATACATTTTTTATTTTAACTCGGGCTTTTTCATCGCTTCCAATAACATGTCTGTTAAATCCTTTTGCTCGCTGCTTTCTTTGTATATTTTAATAGCATAAACTGCATTATCAACATTGAGAAAACCTTAAAAAGATTAAATAAAAATCTTAATATAAGTTATCTTTAATTTTACAAAGACATTTATAATCAAGTCAATAGACAAGTCCAGACCATTGCTTACAGAAAGGAAAAAAAGAGAAAAAGAAATAAAGCTGAGAAAAATCTCGCGATGGCTTTAGGGTCAAAAAATGGATATTGGGTACCGCCTATTCCTTCACTCCTTGAAAATTCTAAACACCAGTTCCGCCGGTTGAGAAGGTGCCTTCCCGCTGAAATAATAAAAATGCGATTATTTAAGTTATTTTTCTCATTTTTATCCCCGAAAACTTGCCTCCACTCATATCTTCATCGTTTATATTCACAAAAATTGCCGTATCTTTTTTTCTTTTAAATAATTTTATTGCATTTTCTTTTCCATAACTTTTTAACAAAAATAATTTTGTAAATAAATTGTTTTTTTCAAAATAAAGAATTTGTTCTTCTTGTTTATCCTTTATTATTTGTATATTATTGCTACTACTTGCTTCTCCCTTTTCTTTTTCTTTACTTAATTTAATTATCACCTTCTTTTTGTCCCCATTTATACATTCAAGTACATGATAAAAAATTACTTCAAACCATCTTTCTTTTAATTCAACAATAAAATCATCATATTTTTCCAACATCTTTTCATGTTCTTCTTTAATGTTTAACAGCCCTTTTTCAAATAATTTATCATTTTTTATTTTTATATTCTCAATCTTTTCATTCAATAATTGTTTCTGTTTGTTTTGTGTCTCCTCTAATTCATTACGCATATTTTCATTGTTTTCATATTCTATTCCGATACCTCCTCCGTATCTTCTTTTTATTCGTCTTAACTCTTCATTAACTTTATTTTTATGTTCATAATTTACTTCTTCAATAATTGCTTCATGCCATCTTTGCTTAAATTCCTTATCACTCATCTCTTCCAATTTTTCCCTTTCATTATTAACTTCTTCAATTAATTCAACAATTGCCATAGGTGTTTCTGAATCAAGTTGTATTGTCGTCTCTGTCTCATATATTTTGACAGAAATATTTTCATTTGGGTGGTCATCATACCAAATTCTTCCTTCTGATGTTATCTTATAAACTTTGCCTGTTTTAGTCAAAGGAATTTGAGAATTATCATTTACTTCATCCATCCCATAGTAAATCAACTGAACCAAATAAAAATAACGATTTCTAATATTTTGAGTAAGGAAAAATGCTTTTTTAGTCAATTGATTTAAATTGTTTAAATGGACATCCAATGAATCCAGCTTATAAGACATTTTTTGATTATTATTTTTGAAAAGTTTTTCGTTATGTTTTTTATTGAGAATAACAGCACCATATTTAATCAGTTTAGTAAAATCACAGAAAATCAGATCAAAAGGAATTCCTATGATCTTATCTGATTCGAAAATTGTCATGCCTTCATAATCTGTTAATATTTGCTTTAAATGACTATAATCAAAGGATTGAGGACGATTCACTGGAGCACCTAGGATGGCCAAAGGCTTTTCATATTTTGTATTTATGTCCAAAAGTGCTGTATTATAGATCAAATTCAAAAATGATTTTTCTATGTGATTTTCTTCTTTTTCAATTATATAATTTGATAAATTTTTTAACCGTTCCTTCAAAACATTTCCCATATTTTTTATTTTAACAATCATATCATCTTCAGCAGGAATTCTTCCCAATGATCTCTTTCTCTTTTTATTACCAAGAGATAATTTATCAAATTCAGAACCCAAAATGAAACGTAATTGTGGCATCCATTTTGGATCAAAAAATATAGATCGCTTTTGTATGTAATCTTCAGAACGATCATTCAATAGAGTTACATTCATTCCCTCTAAAGACAATTAAATTTTTTTCAAAAATAATTAAGTTACCCATAAAGAGTTCAAATGCAGCATATAAACCAACTGGACAATGACTCTCCACAATTACATTTTTATATTCATTTTTCAATTTCTTTTTATTTTCCAAATGCTGATTGTAGATTACCTCAATAATAGCTTTATCCATTTCTTTACTTTGTATTTTTGATAAATTGAATATAAATTTCAACACATTTAATGCGGTAAAATTAAACAATGTTTCCTTGTAGTTTAACGAGGATGCTTTCTTTATAAAAGAGTAAATATCAATCAAAGAGCCTTCTGAACCTTTTGAATGTAAATCTATCATGAATGTCTTACATTTTATTATTATATTTATCAATTCCATGTAGCTTTCTCTATTCGATGAACTAGCAGATTCCTTGAAATTTATAATATCATTTATTCTAATTAAATGTCCCTCAAATTGAATGTCTCTTTCTGGGGTATTGAAAATAAATGGAGGCTATTCAATTAGAATAAATAATGTATGTATATCACGGGGTGGAAGGTCTCTCCTAATTTCAATATGACATTTAGGAAATACAAAATTTTTTCTGCTTCTAAACATTACCTTTTCTTCTAACATCTCGTCAATATTTTTCTCCTTTTTTACAATTTCATCATATGTTTTTAATTCATTAGCAATATCTTCAACACTGTCAAGTGATATGTTAATATATTTTAGATTTAGTTGAGCAAATTCGGCAACTTTATTTACAAGTCTTTCAAAAGCTTTTTTAAATGTTTCAAAAAGGCTTTTATACTCCGCATTTCCTTCAAGATATTTATATTCCTCGAATTTAATAGCGTCATACGAGTATAAACCACCTCGAAGCATTCCAGTTGAATTATCTATCTCAGCAATTTGTTTTAATTGTTTAATGCGCGCTGAATCGTTCGCAGTGCCTACATTAAACTTCGAAGCGATAATCAAGACAAAAACTATTGATAAATTTGTTTTGCCTCGCATCTCTTTATTATCGAGATTTTCAATAGAAACGTCTGTGTTTCTGATTCTTTTGGTAGATTTTTTATTTAAAAATTTTTTAATGAATTAGGTATAAATATTATAGACTGAATAAAATGAATGAGGATGGGTAAGTAAATGCCGGATTTTATAAATTTGAATTTTACGCTCAATGCTATCGCTATAATGCCCTTTAAAGGAGATAGGCAAATAAAACAGCATCGATTTCCGCGAGTCTATACCGGCCCAAAGCAGAGCTGTTTCGAAATTTCGATTTAGATTTTAAAAGATTTATTTGTACTCTAAACACCACTGCCCATGTCCTTTCTCAGGACAAATTTTAGAATGCTGTACTTTTTTTTATTTGCTCAGCTCTTTCGAAAGATATAGGTTGTTAAAAAATTATAAAACCATCTAATTTTTTCAGTTTTTCAAGGTTTCGATTGCCTATTAATCTGAAATTTTTATATAACATTTATGAACACTATTGGATATTATGTATAACCCCATAATCCTAAAAAATATTTCACTGGATTTATTTTTATTGAGGTTTTTCTCAAAGCTTTTTCCAAAATTAAATTGATGAAATTAAGAGTATAATATAATGGCCGAAAAAATGCGCCCGAAAAAATGCGTCGACCGTCGGAATCGAAAACGGCAACCTAATCCTATTTTTATTTTTTCTAAATAGGAGAACTATTTTAAAAAGCGGGAGATCGAAGTCGAAGAAAACGACGAATATGAAAATTTTAAAAAATTTTCAGAACTCACTGCTCATGTTTTAAACTAGAGGCGAATTAAAATCTGTAAAAATTAAATGATATTTAGAACAAAATATATTTTGGCAAAATGTTTAAAAAATTAAGAAAGGATGTACAAATTTTCTATCGAAATTTCTTGAAATAATAGTTTTTTGTTTAATTTCATTTCCTCTGAGAATTAAGTTTATCGGGACTAAACAAAATAAAATATTTTAATTCACTCCTAAACGAAACAAAAATGGGTACAAAACACGATACGAAATTTCGACCAGCTTTCGATCATATATGTATTCTTAAATTGACTTAGAGGGAATGTACTCTTACAATATAGATTGAATCCCCCAACAATCATTTTATTAAAATTTATAAATTAAATCCTAATTTAAAATAAACTAAAACAGCTATAGAAATAATTTGCTTAATAAAGAAATGCGAGGCTTACTTAGCTTACTTAAAACTAAGCTTACTTAAAGTCTAAGCTTACTTAAAACGCTAAAAAGATTTATGTTTTAAATTCTTGTGGTCACCAGTTCCATCAGATTTGTCTGGAAAGAGCACTTAAACTAGTTGGACATGGCGGACCTGATGAGGATAATTTTGTACATTATGGTGAACATCGGGGGTGAACATCAGGGGCATGATGAGGAGCATGGTGGATCAAATATAAAAATTTGTTTTAAAGAAATCTTTTTCTAGGTATTGTGTATACTATTAATGATATTTGATAACTTTTTAGCTAATAAATTTTAAATGTTGACTAGTAAAAGTTTAAGAAATCCAGAGAAAGTCAAAGAGAAATACCACGCAGAAATTAAAACTCAATGATTTATCAGCTACATTTGGAGTATTAATTCGTCCAGTTTTTCATAGTTGATAAATCAAAAATAAACACGGAATAATTTAAAAAATAAAAACCTTAATTTTTAAGACTTTTGGAATCAAATTCATCTACTACCGGAAGCTGATTTTCGCTTTTACTTTGTCAAATAGACAAGAAGGAGCCGCTGCAGTCTTACATATTTAATTAAATAAAATAAAATTTAAGAATGAAATAGTTTCAATTTATCCAACTCCAAAAAGAATACAATTCTAAAAAGATAAATAATGTGGATCTCAACGGTCAACAATGTTGAGTCCTTGCGGTAATGTCTGTAGAATAGAAAATTTAAAATATAAATATTTAGTAAAAATAATTGACTCCCGTTATATAACTATCCCGATTTTTCATTTATAACTATTTGTCTGTTCGAAACTGAACCGATCCAAAAATCGAAGAGTTTTTGGTTTTAACTCTTCGAGGACTAGTTTAATGTCTAAAATCTAGTAAATGTTTAATTTCAAATCGAATTTTTAAAGTTTTCTATTCCCTAATCTAAAAAGCCCAATAAAACCCCACTAAAACTAAAAAGTTCACGACTTCAAATCAATCTTTTTCTCAAATCAATCCTCATTTTCTTCTTCAATTTTAAACTCCATTTTTACTCCTGCCTCTATCTTGACATATTCTTGAGCTTTCTCGAGTACTCGTCTTCGAACTTTTCTCAAAGCGGCGCTTAACATTCTCTCCAAATTTAACTCTTCATTGCTATGATTATATTCTTTAATCGCACTAACAGCATTCTCAACTCCCAATCGGCCTAAAATTAAAAATAATTGATTTGTGTTGAGTTTTGATAATTAAAAAAATTTGACTCGAAGAATGTGCTGCAAGTTTTTCTGATCTACAAGTCTTTTGGAAAATTTAGAAAAAGTAATTTTGTGAATTTTATCACTATACCGGGAGAAATTGAAAATTTATAGTTAAAAGTAGGGTTGTTGGCGGTAGGTTAACCGAACCGAAAACCGATGTTTTTTGCAAATAGATTAAAACCGAAACCGGGGGTCAAAAACCGGCGATAACCGAAAACCGATGGCCTAAACCGACCTACCTCTAACCCACACTGTATTTTCACTTGCGGCTCTAAATAACAAAATTTTCATTGGCGATCTGTAGAATATTTCAATGAAGCATAATAATGATAAAATATGATTTGAATATTTTGTATGGCAAAATTTAGGCATAAACCGATTTCGATTAACCAAAAACCGCGGGTCAATCGAAAACCGAAAACCGAGGGTCGTAAACCGGTTTTTTTGTTTTTAACCTGTTTTTAACCGGTCGCCATCAGCCCTAGTTAAAAGACTCGTTATTGCTCTTTACTTTTCGTTTAACTTGCCTGTACTAATCCCACTAGCAGTCATAAAATGAGCGCTTGTATTTGCATCCCCTATAGCTGCAATAATTGATGAACTTCCATGAAGTTGCTTTACAGGATTTTCAATTCCATAAATTGCAACCCAAAAAGTGCTTGTATTAGCACTGTGAGGGTCAAAACGAAGTATCTGTTCCGGTTCATGTGCCATTTCTTTGCCTTTATAACTTGTACTTGAACTTCCAACATGTTCATCACCTTCAATAATTACTTGCCCTCGTTTCTCCGGATGTCTGGTAGAAAATGTGTAACTAAAAAGAGCTTTGGCCCATCTTTTTTGTAGCTCTTCGTGAAAATTATCATAGTATTCCTTCAAATGCATTCTCTTTCCTTTTTCTCTTTGTAATTCAACAATAAATTCTACAAGTGCTCTAGGTGTTATAGATGCAATATGCAATGTTGGATTTGATTCAAAAAGACGAACAACGATATATTCATCTTGTAAAATCATGTCAGTTATGTTGGAATACTTTGATTTAAGCTCATCAGAAAGAAAATCAGCGTGCCAAATCAATCCATCAATATTTTGTTCCACCATATGATTCCTCATATTATCCATAGGATCACGGTAGAAAGCAGCAGAATCTTCAAAGACTTTAATGCTAGGATTCATTTTATCGAAGATAACAACACCATAATTTTTTGATTCCGTCAATTGTTGTGGGCGCTCTGAAAATAAGGGATAATTAATCTAGTTGAATTTTGCTGTATAACTGAATTACACTGGAAAAACTATATTTAGGAGTTAGGTCTTAGATTATGGAGATAACCCATTAGGAGTTAGGTCATGATTATGGAGTTAACAAATGAGGCCAAACTTTAACCCGTTTACAAGAATTATATTTGAAATTCTAACCGATAAACTGTGTCCGTATTTGGTCTCGAGCACCACCAGCACAGAAAAACAAATCAAAAGGAATTCCTATTGTTTCCCCTAATTCAACCATTCCTTCATAATTTGTTAATATTTCGCTTAAATTATTG